GAAAATATGAAGAATCAACTAGTGCACGCAACGGTGAGTACCACGGCAACACCAGTAACACTGCAGGCCACAGCTGCTGAATGCGGATAAAAATTAGGCAGGAGGTTTGAAATGGATGAGAAACCATTGCTCCAGAATCAGTTTTGATCCGTTTCGCGTAAGTTTTTCAGTTTTCCACAGAAAATTACCAGGAAAAAATCAAGACACCATTTCGGGACTAACATAACAACTTAATGCAGTTTAAAATTCAACAGGAAATCATCAGTAACAGGGCAACTTGATGGAGGAGAATTTCAAGATATTTCTGCAGAAGAAGGACTTGGAGGAGGCAAATCGTACTGAGCCGAGGGATAGGGTGTACTGACAGTGCCAGTCTGCAAAGCTCCAGAAAGACTTTTTTATGCGCTTTTGCATTTATGCAAATGAAAAAGCATTAAGGAGGGGCACGTCTGCATGTGTGTATTTCTGTGTTGTGTCCGGATAACTATACTGCAGAGAAGCGAAAACTAACTGGCAGAAATTTCAGAAACATAGTGTCCGAAATTGAGCAAAACCACAAACCTAGGATGAATTCACATTTCCTTCTGTAATTTGTGAACTCTGTTATAAACTCAGACTGATTTTACGAGCTGGAGATTTTCAGACGCTTGTTCTTTTTGAGGCTCGGAACAAATAATCTTCACTGTGATCTGATCTATAATCTCAAGTCCAAAATTGAAGCGAATTTTAGAAGCACAAAAACCATAGGCTGGAAATTTGGAATGATTCACTTTTTGTACCGTTGAGCAGTCAACCTGAAATCAGGCTGCAGTCTTTAAACTGTCCTGACTCACTATATCAAATTCGTTTTGTTTCAGCTAATTTTTTAACTCGTTAATTAGGAAGACCGTAAGCTAAAAACTTTGACAGATTAATTTCGTCACATGATTCGAAACGAATACCCGGAAATCCGTTCCCGAACTCTGCTGTAAATTTACGCAATGTTCATAATCCGAGAAGCTAAAGAGCCACCAGCCTCGTACCCCAGTGGTTTCTTGGACCAGATAATTTGACAAGAAACCTCTGAACCTTATAATTTCCAACTCCTACATCAGAACAGACCAAAAACACATGATCGCGCCGGCTTCTGATATTTACCGTTATTTTGGTAGCTGCGACGC